GTTAATAAATAAACTAAATATTTACTATGAGAAATAATTTGATGAAAAAGTAAATTATTATTTTGTTTTATAGTTAAATAATAATTTATTTATTAATAATACAGTTAGTTCGGATTCAAATGAAACAAGTCTCATAATAAATTGAATTTGTCTCAAAACAAATTAAAATTGCACCTATATTCAATTTTGTTTCAAAACAATAAAAATTTGTCTCATTACTTTGTAATTTGTCCCAATAAAAAACAAAAGTGTTTCAAAATGATATAATGTTTCAAAATAATATTAAAATGTCCTAAAAGTAAAAAAATTTGTCTCATAAATGTGTAATTTTGTTCGATAAAGATTGTAACACTCATTAAAAAACAATAAAAATATACACACATACTCTTTTTTGATAAAAGGATTTTGAAATTAAATAATTACAAACACTTTAAAAAATTAAAACTTGCTTTTAAATAATGAACAACTTAAAAAATATCTAACTTTAAGAAATTGTAAAATTTGTTCGTATAGTTCGAACAATTTTTTGTTTTTTTTAATTATCAATTAGATTAAATACAACTTAGTGAGTTACCATCATAAAATGCTTTTGAAAGCAACACATGCAAATAACAACAACTTTACTACCAACAACACAAACTCCAATAGAAACATCAAAACCTTAAAAACTTGATGTGTAAGCGGCACACAATCATTTTTCAGTCTTTATTAAAAACTTTATATAAAAAGTATATTAACGATGTATCACTATATATTTAAAAACATAAATTTTATTGAGATAATACTAAGTAATATAAACACAAGTAAAATAACAATATTCAATATGCTATTGAATATGACCGGATGTTTCAAGTACATGATAATAATTTAAAAAATGTGTTGATTATTTCGTCAGACTAGTCGCGTTAAAATTACTCGCTCGAGGTGTTCTTTAAGTATTTTTTAGTTGTAAATATAAATTAAACATTAAAGTTTTATCAAAAAAGAGTATGTGTGTATATTTTTATTGTTTTTTAATGAGTGTTACAATCTTTATCGAACAAAATTACACATTTATGAGACAAATTTTTTTACTTTTAGGACATTTTAATATTATTTTGAAACATTATATCATTTTGAAACACTTTTGTTTTTTATTGGGACAAATTACAAAGTAATGAGACAAATTTTTATTGTTTTGAAACAAAATTGAATATAGGTGCAATTTTAATTTGTTTTGAGACAAATTCAATTTATTATGAGACTTGTTTCATTTGAATCCGAACTAACTGTAATTAAATATTACTTTAAACTTATTATACGAGTATTATAGTCATTTCAAAAATGATGATAGTTATTATAAATTATTATATTTAAAACAATAATATCAACTTCATATATTTTAATAAAATATACTATATATAACTACTTAAAATACCTCAATACTCGAAATAATACAGAACTAAACCCAAATTAACATAAAATTAACAATTAAACTATACTAACACGAAACACGAATTTGTATAAAAAAGTGAACTTAAATAGTAATGAGTAAGCAGAAGACGATTTTGGACTTTTTCAAGGCGAAGACGCCAATAATCGAACGGAAAGATGAGAAGAAGCCACGACATCGACGTGCGAAGGCGATCAACGATGGGAATGGCCTCGACCGTTTTTTCAAAGTAACACTTAATATGTCACCGGATGCGGTGACTCGTCGTGAGAAGTTGAAAGAGGAGATGCGTCAACAGTTGTTGAAGATCAAAAGTGAGAAGGAGAAGCAATTAGCACTACTTCAAGCGAAGAGAGAAGCTCGGAAGAAGAAGCGAGCATTGAAAGGAGTTGACAAGGAGAGTGACTTAGAGAACTCTGAGGAAGAGAATATGGAAGTCCGTATGAGGGAAGTGAAGTACTCTGAGAATGATTATGGGACGGAGATATGCAAGCACTTGTTTTTAGGGAGTGCAATGGCGGCTTCCAATATCGAATGGCTAGAGGAAGAGAACATTCATTATATCATCAATGTGACTCCGGACGTCGTCTGTACTTTTGACCCACATGAAAATCCCAATTTCAAGCTGGAAGACTTTGAAAATGTGACGGAGAAGAAGTACTTACGAATTCCCATCAACGACGATTTTAATGTAAAAATCGATAATTACTTCGAGTGTACCAAAATGTTTATAGACAGTGCTCGAGAGAAAGGGGAGAATGTCTTAGTTCACTGTTTATTAGGTCGTAGTCGGAGTGCTTGTATAATAGCTGCTTATATCATGCAGACCTATAAAGTAAAATACACAGACGTCTTAAATTTGTTTAAGAAGCGAGATTATTACGTTCAAATTAATGATGGGTTCTATGGTAAATTGATGGAACTTCAGAGTACAATTTTCAATGAACCCGTCAACATTAGAAAAACAAGAAGAAATGTTTCGCAGAATAGTCAGACGGATACTATCAACAAAATCGTCAGCGAACTCAATTGAGCGATTGTGAGTGTTTATTTATTAATTTGACCATTTCTTGTCTATCTGTAGTATGAAGTTTCGAATGAGGTATATTAATACTATAAAATGTTGAATAATTTATATACTTCATTATATACTTCATCAAATACTTCATTAAACAACTCATTAAATGACGTTTAAATTATTATATGAACATCAGTACTATAAGAGATAAAAAGATGTGAAGTAGTGTTGCGGAGTCGAAACGAGAGAACGATTCACACGTCAAAGGGTCTGTCATTTGAGGTTTTGAAGGGCCTGAGTTTTGATAGAGACGTGTTTCATTATAGTCAGTGAGTGTTATTGTAGTTGAGTTCACTGTGAGTGTTGCAACTTCCCACCAGACATATTTGCGTGTGTTTGAATCGACTGTCTACTATTGAATATAAATATAAAGAGAATTGAAAACAAACGTAAGGCATGATATAATGTTTGGATTGAGAGATACCACCAGATGTGTAATTGAGAGAGAAGTATGGCTCCCCTTTCACAAAACAAGAACCGACATGTCTATATACGAGAATGAGGTATTGACCATTTGGTAAATCAAGAGGTACAGTCATAATCATGTTAAGATAATCATATGTGATGGTTTGGTCGATACTCCCTTTCTCGGATGAATCATGAACAACACATTTGGTCCGTATTTTATTCACATTGCAACATGGAGCAAAGATGTTGACTGCAAAATCGAATTTGGTGTGGTCTTCATACGTCACTTGTGCAGTGAGTTTTGTCGAATCGAGTTGATATGTATTTGAACGCACAAAAATCACAAAAAATGAAAGAATGAGTACTTTCACACACATTTCCTTGGTGTACTTTATTAGTTTTTTATTAGTTTTTTATTTAAAAATTGTCTTAAAAATAGTTTTTCGAAAACAATGGGTTTCATTTTTTTTGACTTTTTATTAATAGTTTATTTAAGTTAAAATAATTATTTAAAAAATCAATCTAAATATAAAATTATTTTCTATTTATATTTATTCATTGTTATAAAAACTAGTTTCTTATATTATTAGAAATTAGTATTCAAAATAAATTATAAACAATTAAAATATATAATATTAATTTATTCAATTAGTCAATCTATAATTAATAACATTATTAATAATTAGAATAATTAATAATAAAAGAATTAAAGAAGTTAATTTAAAAGAATTATTTTAAGAATTGTTGTAGATCGTCAATAATAGTCTCAATAGGTATTCTGTCTTTAGTGTCTTGTTTCCATCCATTTTCAATTAAGTTTCTTGCTTGTTCTGGTATAGTTTCTGGTATAACAAGTCTTTTACCTGCAGAAGTAAAATCGGCTATATTCCATGCAAATTTGAATCTTTCATCATTCTTATCAAAAGCTTCACACCATCCTAACACTTCAAACATAGTCACTGCAAAGGAATACACATCAGCAGCCTTTTTATATTTCTTTCTATCAAGAACTTCTGGCGCCATATACTTTGGTGTGCCAACACCTTTAGTAAAGGTCATATTAGTCATCAACAAATTGATATTTCGTGCACTTCCAAAATCAGTCAGTTTTGCAGTAATTTCGTCGCCATAGTCAAGTGAAAACACAAGGAAATTGTCTGGCTTGATGTCTCTATGTAATATCCCATTTGTGTGTAAATATTGAATTCCTTGAGCGGCATCCAAACACACTTTAAATCGCAATTTCATGCGAACTTCTACGCCTTTCATCCTTTTTAAGACGTCTTGCAAACTCCCAAATTGAGCAAATTCGGTGACCATACAAATCTTTTTCGGTATGAAAACAGCTCCATAGAAGTGGACGATATAATCACTCCGTATCTTGTCTAACATAGAAACTTCATTTCTAAACTCTTTCTCTTTACCATCTTCATTCATCGACTGTTTCATCTTCTTAATTGCGACGACATTTCCTCGATACGTCCCTTTGTAAACTATCCCAAAAGACCCTTCTCCTAACTTTTTATCGACTTTGACTTCTTCGTAATCGAGTTTAGTTGAAAGTTCTGTTTTGGCATATATTTTAATTGGAGTCATCACCTTTTGTCCACTTTTTAAGTCGAGTGATATCAACAGTATTTCGTCTTCTAAATCAGTGGTACAAAATAACGTCAAAAACACTTCAAATTCACAGGCTTCACCTCTTTTCAAATTCACAATTTGTGGAGAAGTCCGGACTTTGAATTTGTCACAAAGATCTTTTGTTGTGAATTGAATTTTCAAATTTCTGTGTTGGGTGTTACCAATACAAATTAATTCACGAACTTCTTCTTCTACAGGGTTTAGGACTCCTTCTCCAAAAATCAATTGTTTTTTATTGGAAACTATCCCTTTATCTAAATCAGTCATTCTTATGTTAGATCGATCTATTTTAAATACACAGACATTCACCATCTCATGCTCCTCTTTCTTGTGTAAGATCACAAATATTAATATAGTGATGATAATGGCTATAATGAATAATATTAAAACAAAAGAGGCAATTGGAATACCAATTAATATACCATAATTGGTCTGATCTTCACATACATATTTATTCGTGTTAAGTTGATACTTCTCAGCACATTTATCACACTTGTTAGAAGACGCGGAAATACAATTTGGTATTTCTGTAAACGATGTACATATATCATTAAGTAATACATTATTTTCAGTACAATTTGTACAATAATCTAGTGATGTGCAAGTTGTACATTTCTCGTTGCATGGTTTACAAAGGTTGTTTGATATATAAAATCCATTATCACATTCATAACACCCACTTATTGTCTTATTTAAACAGTTGTTCAACTCACTTTGAATCGTACAATATTTAGTGTTATTAGTTGCTGTTCTGTAATATTCATTATTACATGATATGCATGTTCCATCATTTGTACATGTTTTACAAGACATGTGACATTTTTCACAAGTTTTCCCATCAGAAGACCGCATATATCCATCTTTGCAAACAACACACCCAGTGTATGTTGCCATCACCAAATCACACTTTGAGAGTAAATCGTTAATTTCAATACATTCGCCTTTGTTGTTTGTGTACGAATAAGCATCACATCCAGTACAATATGTTAAGTTCTTACATTTCACACATGGATACTCACATTTAATACACTTGTAGTCCTTAAGATAATATGTATCAGAGCAACGGACACATCCTTTCGTTGTCTTTTCGATGCAATTTGAATCGTTTTCATTTTTAAAAGTTGTTTTTGTTGTCTCATTTGTTTCTGATGAAGTGTTTGTTTCATTTTTGTGTAAACAATCTCCACTTTCAAGAATGAAATTTTCTTGACAATCAACACACATTTTGTACACATTTTTACAATTGGGAAAAACATCTTCAATCAATTCACATTTTGTTTCTGTTTTGTAATTATTTTCTTCACATTTTACACAAGTATCATTAAAGGAAGGACAATTTATTTTAGTTTGATTGTAACATTCATGGCCATCACCAATATGACTTTTGCACCAAACACAAAAATCTCTATTTTGAGTGTCACAGTCGTTATTATTTAATTCACACCAACCATTATAAATATGATAATCATCAACACACTTGACACAGTAATTACCTTTTGATATTAAACAATTGGGATCTTTTGTACAGACGTTGTTTCGTGTTAATATTGTTTCTTTTTCACATTCAAAATCCAACTCTTTTCCATCAATTAACGCACAAACCTTTCCACTCTCACATGGTATAATGTCATTTTTATTTGTATATGAACCTTCTTTTGTTGTATAACAATACGAATTTTGCGAAATTGAACACTCTTCTTCTTTGAGACCACAAACAGTGTCATTGACACATTGAAGGCATTCCATTGTATCATTTTTATTGAGTTGATATTTGCATTTTTCATCTTTTGTACAATTGTTTGATGATGTTAAAATAGAATCTTTGCACAAATCACACCCTTTAATTGCACTGTTCTTACAATTGTCATCAAACTTTTCACATTTTCCATTTAATAAAATTGAGTCTTGACACACGTAACATGTCGAGTAAATTTGATTTGTGCAATTGACATCATTTTCTTTGAAAGTGTTGGTTTGTTTATCATAATAAAACTTTTGGTAATCTTTGTTTGCAAAACATGATAATGAGTCACTTGTAAGTTCAAATGGTTCGAAACATTCGGTGCATTTTAAAGTAGCATTATCATAATACCCATTTTTACAATTTGGAATTAAATAACATATATCAATACACGTTTTGTCTCCATTTTTTACTTTTCCTTCTTCACATTTAAAACATTTGTTTCCATCTGTTACATAATCTTCATGACAATATAAACACTCTTTTTGAGTTTGTGAACACGACGCACAATGTGCAATTTCTTCACAAAGAATACAATTGTTGTTATCTAGATAAAGTCCATTTTCACATTTTTTACACACCCAATTTTGTTCGTCTCCGGTTGTATTGCAAGATGTACAATTTCCATTTAATGAACAACTTACACACTTGTTTTCTTTTGTTTTAAAGCCATCTTCACAAGAAGAACAATATCCAGTTTCTTTAAAACAATTGGTACATTCACTTTGACAACTCACACATTCGGAAGTGTTACCAGTCGAATATGTTTTTGGTGTACATGTTGTGCAACTACCTTCTGTTTTATTAAAACCATCTCCAGCTTTACAATTAGTGCATTTGCCATTTGTCTTATCACATGTTGAACATGAAGAATTACACTTTTTACAAGTAGTTTTGCCTTTTTCGTCTTGATAATTCATTTCTTCACAATTTGTACATTTAGAGTCAAATGAAAAAGTACCTTCTTGGCACATTTCACAACTAAAACTGTTGGAAATACCATATCCATCAAAACAAGCTGTACAATTCCCGTTTGTGGAATTGCATTCTCGACATACTGAATTGCAGGTTTGACAAGACGAAGAACCTTTAAGTGAAAATTCCAAGTTTTTACAATTTGAACAACTTGATGATTTGTTATTTGAATAAGTACCTGCTGGGCACTTATCACATAAATTAGTTATAGAATTGGACTTTGTACCACCCAAACACATCTTGCAAACACCTTCAGTTGCTACATACCCGCCAACACATGTTGAACAATTTCCACTCGTCTTTTCACATTGGACTGCACATAATGTATCACATGGTAAACAAGTTGTTGATCCAGTTACGTTCACAAAGTTGTAATCTCCACAAGTTTCACAGTTGTCTTTTCCATTACTATCCGTAAAAGTACCCAAAGGACATTTTTCACATTGATTATTTAAGCTGTAATAACCAGCTTGACATACAACACAACTATTTCCTGAAATACCCTTCCCACTATAACAAGAAGTGCAATGTCCATTTGTTTTATCACATGTCTTACATATAGTGTCACAATTATCACAGTATGTTTGTGCACCTAAAGAATATGTCATATCTCCACATGTAACACATGAACTCGAATTTGCAAAAGTACCAGCTGGGCATAATTTACAAACTCCGGCTTCGAGACCATATCCATTTACACATGTTATACAATTTCCATTCATTTGATTACACGTTGCACATTTATCACTGCAAGATAAACACTCCGAAGATTTTTCTAATGAATAAGTATTACTTGGACATTTTGAACATGACGATGTTCCACCTATCGAAAAATAAGAAGCTTGACATATTGTACATCCAGTACTGGGAGTATATGCATATCCAGGTTTACATGTTTTACAATTTCCATTGGTTATATAACACGTGGCACACGTGGAATTGCATATTTTACATATAGATGAACCACTTAAACTGTACTCTCCATCTTTACATGAAGAACAAGCAGATGAACCATTTGATGAGTATGTACCAGCTGGGCACTTTGTACATATAGAAGATCCAGATGAAGCCGAATATTGACCACTTGGACAAGAAATGCAAACAGATGCCCCAGAAGATGAATATTTGCCAGCCGGACATGTTGAACATGATGTAGAACCAGTAGATGATGAATATTTGCCTGCTGGGCATGAAATACAAGTGGAAAATCCAGAAGATGATGAGTAATAACCCATTGAACATTTGGTACATGAAGATGCTCCAGAAGACGCGTATGTACCTGCTGAGCACACAGAACATGAAGATGACCCACTGGAAGAAAAAGTACCAGCAGGACATGTTGAACAAGAAGTTGAACCATAACTGGATGAATATTTTCCAGCGGTGCATAATGTACAGGAAGGAGATCCGGAAGTTGATGAATATGTACCAGCAGAACACGAAGTGCATGAAGATGAACCACTAGAAGAATATTTACCAGCTGAACATATTGAACATGACGTTGAACCACTTGATGAATAATAACCAGCTGAGCACGAAGGACATGAAGATAAACCAGTGGTAGATCCATATGTGCCAGCTGGACAATTACTACATGAAGACGATCCGTAATTTGAAAATGTACCTTTTGGACACGAAGAACAAGAAGTCGAACCAGAAGAAGAATATGTACCGGGAGAACATGTTCCACATGAAGTAGATCCAGAACTCGACGAATATGTACCTGCCGAACATGGAGTACATGAAGATGCTCCGCCATTTGAAGATTTGCCAGCTGGACATGAACTGCATGAAGTTGAACCAGAAGAAGAATATGTACCGGGAGAACACGAATAACATGAAGATGCTCCACTTGAAGGTCCATATGTTCCTGCTGAACATGAATAACATGAAGACGATCCAGAAGTCGCATATGTCCCTGCTGAACATTTATAACATGAAGATGACCCACTGTAAGAAGAATAACCAGCAGAACATGAAGGACAAAAGGATGCTCCATCGAGGGAATATGAACCCGCAGGACAATTACTACATGTAGCTGCTCCATTAGTTGCATAAGTACCCGCTGTGCACACTTTACACTTAGAAGATCCAGAGCTTGGTTGGTATTGGCCACCACCACAATAAGTACATTTTGATGCTCCAGCCGGCGAAAACGTACCTGCCGGGCAAATGGGGCAACTTGAAACGGATGAATTTGCGTAATATCCTGCTTTACATGCAACACAATCATACGATCCTACAACTGCAGACTCGCCCCAACTACACGGAGTACACGAAGTAATACCATAACCACCGTGTGACCAGGTCCCAACAGGACATGCACGACAAGAACCACCATTTTCATACTGCCCCCCTCCACAATACATTGAACGAGAAAAGGCAAATAAACAGTGTAAAAACAATAGCTTGATAATAAACGAATCACTCATTCAATTATTTGATTATATTATTTGTTTAAATAATTTAGATGAGGAGCTAAAACATGTTTTGCAATGAGTATAATAATTTGTTATGTTCAACTAAAAATCTTTTATTTTTATTTATGGTGTTTTTCCAACCAAGTTTTTTAAATGAATTCAAATAAGGGAATATATTTATAAACATGTGGGTCTCGATATAGTAAAATAAATTATCAAAAAACAAATAACAATGTTTTTATGTAGACTATGAATTAATAGTGTTTTTAAAATTAACTAATTTAATACTTTGATTTTTAACAATAATTCAGTTTAAAGTATTAAAAGTGTTATGAAAGATTAATGTTTTCAAATTAAAATAAAAGACCACATTAACAGAAATGATAAAACGAGAAAATTTAAAGAGTAAATACATTATCATCAATTATATTACCAGACATACTAATTAAATCCTCATTATTAACTACTAAAAGGTCTTAATATAAAAATATTTTTTATTTTTTATCTTACAGATCTGAGATATACTTTCAATGATTAGTTCCAGATCTTTTTACTTTTGAGAATCATCAAATGTTTCAATAGAAAGTAAAATACCCCAATAATAAATAAAATTGATATATTAAAAACAACTCCAAGACTTGTAAGACTTATTGTTGTAAATTTCAACAGTGTTTTTCTTTTATCATAAAAAATATCAATATTGAATTTAAATACATTATTGATATTAAAAAAGATTCTGATGTTTTTATAATAATTATAATCAAAGTGTGTTAATGATAGCTATTACTTTGTTGGAATATTATATATACACTGTTGAAAAAATGAATATATTAAAATCTAATAAATATTGTAAGACATTAAACGAAATAACGTGTAATAATCAAACAATCATTACGCATCTGTTTATTTGTAAGCTCGTTACATTAGTATTGTTTGTTTACATATTACAAATGACAAAAAAGCTTATTTTAAATTATACATTTCAATTTTTATAAATTGAAATAACCATCATTAAAATGACAAGTGTCAATAAAATTGTTCTGATCATTAATTTATTTCATTTGATACACAACAACTCTAACGGGTTTAAATTTGTTGTTTGTGCACAATTGTCCGCTCTGTGCTGTGAATGTAGAAGCCTTACAATAGCTTCCCATTTGTCCGTCTTTATATACACAAATGTCATGACCTCCTCCAAACCCAAACAAGAATGTGTGGTTCTTTTCTAACACACAAAATGCGTGGTTAGCTGCTTCTTTTTTAATAACATATTTTTTCTTCGTTTCAACTCCCCCAATTCTCATTGAGAAAATGAACGCGTTTTGGTCGTAGTTATAATTATAATAACATTCAGCACACTCACTCACGCCACTTTCTATGTACCCACCAAACAAATCTTTCTCCGCCGTTTCGATGAAAAACACAAGATTTGGAAGGTCACATATTTTGTCATTAAACACACTTGAACCGACACTCCAATCATTCACAGCGCTATCAAACACTAAAACTTTATGTCTGAGACCAGTCCATTCTCGCAATTTTTCGACTTCACTTTTTTCAACTATGGAATTCTTCTTTGTTGGACTTTTCTCGACTTTTTCTGTTAATTTCTGTGAGTTTTGTGAAGACTCTGTTTGATCAAAAAGTGGCGACATTTCAATTTTTGAATTTTGAGAATTATTGGTCAAGTCTGGCGGCTCGGATTTTTGGTTTTCTCCACGTAAGACCACTTCAGTCTCTTCACTCTTCTTCGTGTTTTTCTGGCCTTCTGATGCTTTCTTGAGTTTCATTAAATTGTTGATTTTCTCGGAAGTCACTGAAACTATTGAGTCAAACGATTTCTGAAGTTCTAACTTCTTCTCATTAAGACGTTGTGTTTCTAAAGAAACTAAAACGTCTATTGTGGTGTTGTAATTAAACGACCCATCGTCAAAAGTCGAAATTTCTTTTTGAATAACACCAAGAAGAGAACTGAGACGCACTTGAAATTGTGTTAAAAGAAGTTTGGTTGCATGTCCTTGTTGGTAGTTTGTTTCAAGTTGTGTAAATAAAGACTCGGCGTATTTGATTCTGTCTTCAAGTGGAAGTTTAATGTTGTCAACGGTATTTATTGTGTCTTTGTACTTAAAGTATTCAGATAATTTTGTCTTCAGTTCTTGGCAACTTTTGAGGACTTCTTCGACCAATATCTCCATTTATCGTTTAACAGTTCATTTTTGTTGAATTATTGTTACAAAGAATAGTGCTTACACGTTTTAAGTTTTTATCACAAATATATTATTTTTGAAACAATTCAGTAAGTCTGTAAGAGTGATCTAACTTTTTACCTGTTTTTGAATTTTATAAGTGTTTTTTATTCGCGTTTTAATAAGGAGTCTTATACTAAAATCATGAGTGTGCTACCACTATGTGGTGGTCTTTAGATGCAAATTATTTTATATGATGTTAAGGTGTGATACAAAACATTTTAATGTCAATTTCGAGATCTTTACTAACAAAATCCCTCTTCGATGTTTTATTGCTGTTTAAATGTAATTTTTATGTAATTGTTTTAAATCAATGCACACATTTTTATTTGTATTATCAAAAAATACACTTATCTAGTTAATTCTAAATTTGATTTAATATTTTAAAGAATTTATCGAACAATTTCTGTTTTTTAATTATTTTCTTTCAAATTCCACGATTTCAAGAAACATTTCCTTTCAGTTTTCAAAAATGTTGTATTAGTTTAAATTAATAATATAATTTATTTTATAATACACTTTTTTATCATTAAACATCGAAAAAATCTTTGTTTTTTTCAAAACCACTTTATTCCATACACAACATTTCAAAATTTTGAAAAACAAATCTTTTGACTTATAATACAATTGTATATGTAAATAAAGACGTAAAAATAATTTTGTTTTTAAATAAAAAAATAAAACATTTTTTCTTCAAACCACAAACAATTAAATCTTTTGAAAAAAATTACTTCTTTGTTTATAGTAATTGTATTCATTTCAATTCGTTTTTCCATTCTTTCAAAGTTTTTGAAAAAATTTGATTTGCGATTTTTTCCGTTACAACTTCAAATATTACAAATTGGATGTTGCGGTTGAAACCTCAACTTCTTGCTGAACCGTTTTGGAGAAAGTCGACGATCATTCACAAACTTTTTTTCTTGCTAGTGATGATAGTCTTACCAGCTCCATACATGTTAATACCCGGTGTATTATCTCTTCCTTATTTAGTCGAGTTTTTGGTGCTTTCTGTTTGTATAATATTAACGACTGCGCCAATAGTTCGACTCTTTTCATTATTTACTATTCCGTATTCTATTGCTCATTTTATTGTCGCAATGGTGTTTTACTTTGTGGATTTTTCCGATCATTGGGCATACTCGTTACTTGGACTTTCGTTTGGCAAATCGAGTCAAGCGTTTTTTATTACACACCAAATCTTTGTTGGTCTTATTGCCGTCTTTTCAGTGTTTGCAATACTCACAAATGCAAAGCACTTTGAGTACTTCCACACGACACTGGTGACTACTTTTGTGTCAACACTCTTTTTTGTTTCTTCGTTTCTTATTAACACATCTCAAGGTGGGATCATACCAATTCTGTTTTTCTTGACATCACAAGTACTATTTATTACACCAAGAAAATTATTTATTTACATCAACGGGTCTTCGGTGTTTTTAATGTTCATTTACTTACTCGTTCTCTCCCTTTGGAATTTATTTGCGTCAGTTGCAGACCGATTTGGGTTTTTTGATGGGAGTGACAATGAGACTTTAGAGAAGGCGATGGGGTTTATTGGGTTTGCGGAGGTCGCATATCCTTCGTGGATCTTCTTTTCGATGAATTATGGTGCTTATTTAGTCTTTCCCTTAATATGTGTCTTTACACATGTAACCCTAATTGGTCACAAAGAAAAGAAAACGAGTGTCGCACAGATAGCCACTGAATTACAGACACAAACTGAAAATGATAAAGATGTCATAGACAACACTGTATTTGATAAGTCAATGTCAACCAAATTGTTGCTGATCCAAATAGCTCAGATGACTTTGAGAACAGCAATTACACTACTTAAGGTGGGGATCCAAATTTTAGTGAAAAGTGGTTTGATCATATCACTTGCTGTAATGTTCTGGGTGGGTCTGACTGATGTCTCTATCTTTGGGTTCTCGTTCATGTTGATATCGCTCATCTTCATATTTGTGCCCCTCAGCTATGCGCGGCGTGCATGGCCGATAGTCATTGTCTTCACTTCACTCATCATATTACTTCAAATGGTCATTCAATTGTCGTACATCAATGTCAGCAAGATCCCTCAATATGTTGGACTCTTCAAATTCAACGACAACGAATTGGGGAACAAAACCATTGACTTTGATGACACTCATCTGGAAGAGTTGTACCCCAAAATCATACTTTTGGTTGTAGCGAATCTGCAGTTTTATGCGAATCTCTTGGGGAGTAAAGTGTCTGATGCGACGTATGGCGTGAAGGTGTTTTACTATTGTGCGTCACGTTTGATTGACTTCTGGGGGATCTTCATTTGCTGTGTTGTCATAGCAACAGCAGCCTTTTTTGAAGATGTCAATTTGGAGCTGATTTTGTATGTTGGGGCGCTTGCCCTTCTTGTGTTGATACAAACCCATTTCAGCTGTTACAAAGTGATTATCCGAACGATGTTGCCGGTGTATTCGATTGTGTTCTTTGTGATATTACTTGTGAGGTATGTAGTGCAACTGACCGAGACGGATGAAGAGAGAGGGGATTTGAGTGAAATAACGGAGTGGCATCAAGTGTTTACGAACATGAGTATGTCTGAATTAGGGTTTGTGAAGTACACCACTGTGTGGCAACGGTTTAAAGGCTTTTTACCGAACATAGCGGTCATAGCGTGTTGTGCGATAGAGAGTCGGATGCTGTTTACGATACCCCGGTACCTCCAGAAAGTGGTCCATGAACGATCTGAGAAGAAAAAGAGGTATGAGAAGTATCAAGAGGAAATGAATGCGCGGTTAGAGCGATCGATGGCGAATGAGAGTGAGATGGAAATATTGGCGGAGGGTCCGACGCACGACGGAACACTTTTGAAACAACGACCGCCACTCAATTTTGAAGAAAGGAGTGGGGAACTGAAAGAACTGAGTAGTTCGCAAATATTAGATAATGAAAAGAAGACGGCACCGGAACAGAAAATCAGTTCCCAAGCGGAATTGCTTCGACATGTTCGGAAGACTGAGGGATATAAGACGGTGCCACGACCTCAAATGAATAGAGGAGAGGATTCAATTCAGTCGATGAGAAGAAGTGAATTGGTGGTGCCACAAAGAGAATTAAGTGATACACAAGGACCAGTTGGAATGAGTATAGATGGCACAACATGTCCACAAAGAACACCACCAAATCAAATGAGGTTGACGAAGAATATGACTTCATTTAAAATGGCAATGAAACAAACTATGCATGAGTCGTTTGCCCCAAATACCGTCTCTTTTGAAGGAGAAACGGGAGATGCGAGTGTTTATAAATTCATCGAAGCGCCACGTCTGGTGAAGAGCAGTGGGTACTTTGTCATGCGATTTCTGGCGATCTATATCCCACACATTTCTGTGATCTGTGCGATTGTGATTGCCGCGTACCCGTCGATTAAAACCAAATTTTCGGAGGACAATAAAAACGAGGTGGTGCAGACGTGGGACATCCTCCACTTTTTAGTGTTTTTGACGACGATGTTGTGTCTCATCTCGAAGAGAGGATTTAATATTGCGTGTGCGCCGTTGCTGTGGGTGTGCACGTTTTGTATGTTAGTGACCATCATACCGAATTTCCGATCGATCAATTTGCTGATCGACCAGTCGGGGATGTTCAAGAATGTCGAGTATAAGAAGTGGGCGTACAATTTGATTGGGATCAAGTCGTGTTT